ATATATATATATATATATATATATATATATATATATATATATATATATATATATATATATATATATATATATATATATATATGCACACACACACTTTTTATACAAGTGATTTTTTAGAAGTGAAACATCAAAGGAGAATTATTGCTCCAGTTCAGAGTTCACTATCCATAAACATACACATACAAATGGATTTTGTTCATACATCAGGCGTCACCATCAGTCATGATGAATGACTGATGACACCTGGCAATTATGTCACTGTATATTTTACCCGTCACTCAAACTTATTGTATTGCAGATGGCGGTGCAAATCACGAATTCAGTTGTATCGCCATGTGTTATTTTTCGCTCCCAAAGGAAGTTCATTCATTCTTCATCATTTTCATTCATTGCGTGAAATTAACACTGTGTTGTATTAACCAACTAACAATTGCATGGTGGACAAGAACGGAGGATTTTATATTAATCTATTCGTAAAAAAAATAATATTTTTAATAACCCCGTCCTAAAAAATAAGCGTAATATATTAGATTTCCCTTCCTGCCCTCTAGCAAAAAAGAAAAAAAAGAAAAGAAATAAAGCATATTAGAATATTCGCCCCACTCAACCTATCTCGAAAAATGATAATGTTATCAATAAAACTTATCAATCTAATTCAATCCAACCATCCCCACACCCCCCTGTCTAAAAGATAATAACTTAATACATCGACCCCCAACAACCACAGATAAAAGAAAAGGAAAATAAAAGATAATCTATTCATTCTCTCCATCCGCCATTCCCTCCTTCGTTGTGCAAAGAGAAAAAATGCGTCGTGGCGGTTTCGAGGAAGCCGGTATGTCCGCTTGCCTGCGACCTGCTGCGAGGGGCGGTTGTCGGGGACGCGAAATGTGGGAGCAGAGTTCGAGGAGAGATTTTTAAGGGTTTTGCCGGCTGGAGGAAAGTTCAAGTTGCTATGCGGTGGAGGACAATTTGATTTTTTTTTTTTTTCGTTTTTTTTTTCGTTCGGTTGATATATTTTTTAATTAGCGATTCATATTTGTCTTTAGATTTAGATTTTGCGTTTCTTTGTGTTTGCTTTATATTACCGGTCTTTAAGTTTTGCCTCAACTTTTTTCCCTCTTAATACTATGCTATGTTCTTCTCTCTCTCTCTCTCTCTCTCTCTCTCTCTCTCTCTCTCTCTCTCTCTCTCTCTCTCTCTCTCTCTCCCTCTCCCTCTCCCTCTCCCTTTCTCTTTCTCTTTTTCTCTCTTTCTCTTTCTCTCCCTCTCCCAATCTCATTCTCGCCCCCACTTCCACTCCCTTCTTTCCTCACTCTCTCCCTCCCTTCCTCCCTGCCGGTGCAGCTCCTTCGACGAGAAAAATGACATCTTATATATTAAAGGTCTTCATTTTATTTTAACCTTCCAGCCTGCTAAACCCAGTAACAGAAGTGGAAAAGTTATTTCGATAACTGGAAAGCTAGAATTAAGTCTAAAGAATAGTCCATTAACGCCCACTTAGACTACATACGTCCCATAAATGACTTTCCTTTTACCGATACATTTAGAAACTCTCGCTTTCAGTCGTAAAAAAAGAAATACCTTAGGCCTTTCCCTTCCACCCCGGAGTTAGTTGGCCCCAGGTGTTAGTCGGGCAAGCGAGCAAGCAAGCAAGCAGGCAAGCATGACCCAGTGCGTTTCCCCCGGTCTAGATGAACAAGCGAACAAGTAACGGCTCTGAACCGAATATTTAACTATTTACATATAGATTGGCCCGGTGTGTAGAGGTTGTGTTTGAGTAGCTAGCGAGTGCGTGGCATTGCGAGCGTGCATGTTGAGAAAGCAAAATGGCGTACTGTGGTTGTTTGCGGTGGTTTTGCGTGCCTTGATTTTGCTTGTTCTTGCTTTTTTTGTGTTTGTTAGAGTATTTGTTTGTTTTTTTGCTTTTTTGTTAAGTTTTGTGCATTTGTTTTGCATGCTTTAACAAGTACAATCCTGGTTTTATTTGGTATATTATGTTTGGTTTTAATTAGTGTTACTTTTTCACAGGTATATATATGTATTCATATTATTTTCTTTAATTTTTAAGTTATTCTGCAGTTTTGTTCTTAGAGTCACTATACAGTCAGCTGGTTCGTGTAGCTGGTTCCAGGTGCCTCGAACACTACCGCTACTGCCTGTGTCCCCCGTATGGTACAGCACAACTACTAGAAGGTACTGTATGCCCTTCCAAAAAAAAAAAAAAAAAAAAAAAAAAAAAAAATGAGACTTTCCCTTCTCGTCTGCTCACCAACTTGCTTTCCGCGCCTTTCCAGCTGGTTTTCGTGACGTTGCAAGTGTTTATATACAAGGAAGACATAACAGAAGGGAAGAAAGACAAGGTGGAAATGAAAGGAAATATATATAGGAAAAAAAAGTCACGCGCGGTAGTTTGGTTTGTTAAGAATACAGAAATCGGTTTTCATTCTGGCGGAAGAGTAAAAAAAAAAAAAAAAAAAAGAAAAAAAAAAAAAAAAGCCAACAATAGCCAACAAACAAACAAATAAAATAAGGATAAAAAAGAGAGAGGGAAAGGCGTTGTCCAATAAAGACAAGAGAACTGTTGCATATTTCATGCTCGCCCCGACGTTTTCCTTGTCAAGCGATCGGTTGTTGTGACAGAATCATACGCGAAACAGCGCTTTTATTTCGGCACCTGTTTCTCAACCTTTACCTGAGGCTTAGGAAATTCAGTTACGATTTAATTAGTCCCGTCTTGATAAAAAAAAAAGGAAGTAAAAAAAAAAAAAAAAAAGAACTACCCGATTTCAGAATTTCAGATTTCAAAAAGAGATGGAATAACGACTGCTCTTTTCCTTGGATAAAGAGCGATTTTGTGGCGGGATATAAACTTGTTTTCTTTTTGTTTGTTGATGATAATTGGTATTATGGTTGTTAATATATATTATACCTATTTTTTTCTGATCTTATGGTTATTATTCGCATTGTCAACGTTGCAAGATCAAGTAACCTTAATTAATTGTTTTGCTAAAAGCGTAGAAAAATAATAAGAACTGTCTACGTCGCGAAAATCGGTCAAATCCATAACTCCTTTAAGACAACCCCCCCTCCCCTCCCCCCTCCCCCGACACACTCACTCCGCCGACCCGCCCACAAGGAAAGAGAGAGAAAAAGAAAAAGAAAAGCGATTGAAAAAATCCCCCATTACGCATTCATATCCGACGCCGAATTAAGAGTCCTCTCGTGTAATTCGAATAACCGGCCTATTTCGCGGCGCCTTCCCCTCCGCCCGCGAAACCGGAATCCCCAATGAAAGGCGGAGGCGGAGGGCGGTGCTGGCCGCCCGCCGCTTGGGGGCGCGCGCGTGGGCGGGGAGGGGGCGCTCTTTCACTTCTCCTGTGGATGTGGGTATATATATATATATATATATATATATATATATATATATATATATATATATATATATATGTATATATATATATATTATATATTATATATATATATTATATATTATATATATATATAATGTATATATATTTATTTATATATATATGGTATATATATATTTTTTTTCTATTCCTTCTGATTTCTTTTCGGTTTCGGTTTCTCTTATCGTTTGTGTTGTCGTTTTATTGTTGTTGATGTTTTATTTTTCTTGTGTCGTCTGTAGCCTTTGTTCTATTTCCTCTCCCTTGCGTCATTTTTCTTTGTTTTCTCGTCTTTGTGCCCTTCGTCGCCCTTATTCTTGGTCGCTTCCCCCCCCTTTTGCGATTGCTTTTATTACATCCTTCCTTGTTTCTTTCCGTAATTTTAGATTGTGTGTGTGCGAGCGTGCGTATGTGTGTTTGTTTGATTGTATGCGAGTTGTGTGTGTCCAGCCCATGGAAACCCTGTAATGAGTAAGACCACCTCCACTACCAACCTAACCCTTGTCGCCCGTGCCCCTAGATCGAGAACTTGGAGGACCTCCTGCGGGAGAAGGACAACCAGGTGGACATGGCGCGGGCGCGGCTGACGGCGGTGCAGGCCCACCACTCGACCTCGGAGGGCGCACTCACGTCCCTGGAGGAGGCCATCGGCGACAAGGAGAAGCAGATCAACCAGCTCCGCGAGCAGCGGGACCGCGCCGAGCAGGAGAGACACCAGGAGCAGAGCCTTCACGAACGAGACATTGCCGAGTACAAAATGAAGCTCCACACCCTCGAGGGCGAGGTCGAGAAGCTGCAGGTCCGCCTCGAGCGCTCCCTGGCGGAGAAGGACAAGCTGGAGGCCAAGCTGGAGTCGAGCCAGTCGGAGCTGGGGAAGGCCAAGGCGGAGCTCGAGAAGATGCACGGCGAGGTGGGCAAGAGCACGAGCGACTACGAGTCGTACCGACACCGCCTCACCAAGATCGAGATGGAGAACGACCGCCTGCGCACCGAGAACGAGCGCCTGCACCACGAGCTCGAGAGGTCCCACCCCACCTACGGCCGCCCCTCGATGCCCAACTCGTCCACGGAGATGGAGAGGCTGCAGGAGAAGCTCGACAAGTGTCAGGCCGACCTGCGCAGGGCTCAGGCGGAGCTGCGCATGAACCAGTCCGACTACGAGCGCTCGCACGTGGAGGTGAGTCGCGCAGCAGAAGGAGCGGTAATGGCGTTTGCCTTTTAGTTTTTTACAAAATCAATAGAAATGCTAGTGCTGAAGAAAAAAAATATCGTATTTATCTCTCACTCCACAAAAATAACTAAAGAAAAGGCTGAAAAAAACGTATATTGCTAATAGTTATATGTTTTCTGCCTTTTAATCTCTTGACTCCCAACGCTCTACCCAGGTGGAACAGCTCCAGGAGAAGGTGGAGAAGGCCCAGGGCGAGATCTACAGGCTGAAGGCGAGGCTGGAGAACGCCCAGAGCGAGAAGGACAGCGTGCAGGAGGAGCTCGAGCGTGCCCAGGCCACCGTCGCGCGCCAGCATAGCGAGAGGGAGCGCTGGGTCAATGAAGTGAGTGCCACGGGGTTTTTCTTTCTTTCTTTCTTCCTTTTTAAGATCTTTTCATCTATGTGCGTGTCTGTTTTGTCTATATTTTTTCCATCTCTGATTTTTACTCATTGTCCCTGTATTTCTCTCTCTCTCTCTCTCTCTCTCTTTCTCTCTCTCTTTCTCTCTCTCTTTCTCACTCTCTCTCTCTCCTCTCTCTCTCTCTCTCTCTCTCTACTCTCTCTCTCTCTCTCTCTCTCTCTCTTTCTTCACTTTCTCTCTCTCTCTTCTCTCTCTCTCTCTCTCTCTCTCTCTCTCTTCTCTCTCTCTCTCTCTTCTCTCTTTCTCTCTTCTCTCTCTCTCTCTCTCTCTCTCTCTCTCTCTCTTTCTCTCTCTCTCTCTCTCTCTCTCTCTCTCTCTCTCTCTCTCTCTCTCTCTCTCTCTCTCTCTCTCTCTCTCTCTCTCTCTCTCTACCATGACAATTTCTCCCCCAATCGCAGCCCCTTCCATTTCAGTAAAACCAATAAACCAAGGCCACCTTACCGGTAATCTGCAGTAATCCCCGCCTTCAAGCAAGCTCGCAATCCCCCAGTAATCCCGTGACTAATGCGCTGTCATTTGCATAGGTCGACAAGCTCCGCGAAGAGCTGGAGCGGTCCCAGGCGACAGTCGGGAAGGCCCAGATCGCGCAGGAGAAGACACAGTCGTCCTTGGACAAGGTTCAGTCCGAGCTCGACCAGCTGCAGGAGCGCTACGAGAGGCAGAGCGCCGAGGTCAGACGGGTAAGTAGCCGAGGCGTTGCCGCAGGTGGCCCTCCGACGCCCCCGCGGCCGAAGACGGAGGCGCCATTGTGTTTTTTCCTCCCTCAGGAAGGACAGATGAACAATAATGATAGAAGAGAGAAAAGAAAGGTTCGCAGTGCAAGCTGACAGACAAACGAGCGAAGGGTCACCCGGGGTTTGAAAACTTGTCAAGGAGCAGCCACAGCGGGGCTGTCAGGTCGGCTGCAGCTGCAGTTTGCCTGACAGAGAAGATCGAGGAGGTCTCCGGGGCGCGGGCGAGGCGCTGCTCTGAATGACGAAAAGGGGGGGGCTTGGCTGCCGCCTACATGTCCACAGGGGTTAGCTTCAGGAGAATTTTTGCTCTCGTTTATAATCGATTCATACGCTACTCGAGCCCCAGCATCTCCTAATCCCATGGCCGGGTTTCAAAACAACCATAACATTTCGCTCGAGCGTCAGCGAGCATTAACTCATAAATTCATGCGCCATTAAGTCATTAAGATAGCCGCGTAGCACAAGCGGTGTGCCACATTAGTCAGGCGCTCACCGCAGATTGCTTGTCCTCATTCCGGGCCTCCTTGTTCTCTGCGGGCAGGGCGGCGGGGCTCCCTCGCCCTCGCAGCTCGCTCGTTTACACGCACGCGAACACGAGATCACAGGTACTTAGCGAGCATATATTGCGCGTTGTTATTGGCCTCTTATTTGGTCTGTAGCTGAATTACCGCCATTGATATTCAGAAGGCAGAAAGGTAATGGCGGACGTTCGTTTAGGCTCAGCGGGGAGTTGCAAGTCGCTCGCGGATGCTTGGCCGCGGAGACCCTGAGCCGAGGAGACGCTCCACCTGCGGCCGAGGGGGCGCTGGCCGGGAGGGAGGGAGGTGGAAATGGAGGGAGGGAGGGAATGAAGGAGGGAGGGAGGGAACACAGGGAGGAGACCGGGGGCGCAACTTTTTTCTTGAAAAGGGCGATGTCTTCTCTTCGCCGGGGATCGAATCCAAGGGGAATTTTTCAGGGAATGAAATTATGTAGCGAAATATAATTATATTTAGCATCATGCCCATTTCCTTTACACGCATCTTACACGGCGAAGGAATCTAGCATTGGCAACGCGTTTGCTGGGATAACCGGCGTCTCGTGTAAAATATTTCACATTTTATTTATTGTACGGATGACGAAGATTCCGGTTGATATTAAATTTGTGATTTATCCATTTTCACGGTGGTTCGAATGGGCGCCGTGATTTTTCTTCCTTCCTTCTCTCCTTTATTACTCTATTTCTATTCCTATTTCCTTATTCTTTATTTCTTTCCTTTCTTTCTATCTTTCTTTCTTCCTTGACGTTCATCAACCAAAGGACGTAAAAAGCTGCAAATTCTTTCTCCCTCTTTCTATTCCATGATCTTACCTCAATATCCGTCGTGAGAGAAAAAAAAACGATAAGCAGGAAAAAAAAAGGAAAGACGCAAAGCGATAAACAAGACATAGGCAGATAGAGAGAATTTACGGACCGAATTGCAACGCGAAACTCCCGTGGCTGTAAACAAGACGCGCCCAGTTGCCGATTAGCGCGTTATACTTGCAGACGCCTCATTAGTGATGTGGAGGGGATCAGTGCGGGCGCGGGGGAGGGGGAGGGGGGGAGAAGGGGAGATGAGGAGAGGGGGGGGAGGTTGGAGGATTGGGGTAGGGGGTAGTGGTGGGGGTAGAGTGGGCGTTGAAGGAGGGTAGGGGAAGGGGAGAGTGGGGGTTGGAGGATTGGGGTAGGGGGTAGTGGTGGGG